ATGAAATATTAAAAACAAATTGTGAAATTAGGGATAAACTTTATAAGAAATGGTCTAATAACAAAAGCAACACGATTATAAAAAATTTAGAAATTCATTAAACAAACAACTAATTTATGCAAAAAATCAATATTACAAATCAAAATTCGCAGAAAACAGAAATAATACTCGTGCTACATGGCAAATTATAAATGAAGTGATTGGCAAAAAAACAAATAATATTGATGAAACTTTAATAAAAAACTTCAAAAACATAAATCTAAATGAAATTTGTAATAATTTTGCACAAAATTTTAAACAAAACGTTAAAAATATTTTACACGAATGTGAAATAAAAACTATAAAACATTCAAATATTGAAATTATGAACTATTTTTATTTACAAAATACCTATAATGAAGAAATCTTTAACATAATTAATAAACTTAATATAAAAAAAAGTGCGGGATATGATGGAATCAGGGCAATAGATCTAAAAAACAATTCGGAAATACTAACACCGGTTATAACAACTTTAATAAATGCTATTATAAATACAACAATTGTCCCAGAGACTTTAAAAATATCGTACATTCGCCCAATATATAAAAATGGGTCAAAATCAGACTACAATAACTACAGACCAATCGCCATATTACCGGTAATTGAAAAAATCATGGAAGAAATCTTATGTAGAAGAATAACCGAGTACACTAATAAACACAACATAATCAATCACAACCAATTCGGATTCCAAAAAGGAAAAAACATCAATAAGCTACTTGGAAATTTTTCACAGTTTATCAATGAACATTTAAGCAAAAATCATCACTGCCTTACTTTATTTATCGATTTTAGCAAAGCATTTGACACGCTTTGCCATAAAAAATTGTTATTAATGCTAGAGAAGATTGGTTTTAGAGGGCATAGCCAAGAACTATTTAAAAACTACCTTAACCTACGTAAATACTGCGTTAAAATCTCCGGTAACATCACCAACGAAACAAATATTGAACATGGAGTTCCGCAGGGCTCAAAACTAGGCCCAATGTTGTACATAATTTTTCAAATGAACTAATTAACACACTAAAACTAGCCAACACATTTGCATACGCAGATGACACAGCTGTTGTAGTTGCTCACAAAAACATAAATGACGCTACTATAATTCTGCAACATGAATTGGATACAGCGATACGATGGTGCCATGATTACGGCTTAATTATAAATGCATCCAAAACTAAATTAATGCATATCAAACCCCGACATTATCTGAATACCGACATTCAAATCAGATTCCACAGTATCGAATGCCTTCACAATAATAAGCTCAAAAACTTCGACTATAACCACGACTACTGCTCAACTACAATCGAAATTGTTAATACATACAAATACCTAGGAGTTATCGTTGATCAGAACTTCAAATGGAGATTTCACATAGATGAAATTCGCAAAAAACTACGTAAAGTGGCGCATATTTTACATAGGTTAAGCTACTGCTCAAGCAAACTTGTATTGAGACAAGTCTACTTTTCTCTCGCCGAATCCCAAATTCGTCATGGAATCACAGCCTGGGGCAACTCTACACATTGCTCAAAGCTTCAAAATATGCAGAACCAGCTATTAAAAATATTGAATTCAAATAATAACCAACAAAATCGCAGCCAAAACACAAACAACATCACATCAAATATATTCTACAATAACATTGCTAACGACACAAATGTCCTCAATGTTAAAAATATATTTAAAACAACTTTAGCAATCGAATTCTTCAACTCTTCAAGATTCCTTCATAAAATCAACCACAATTACAGAACCAGAAGAACGTAGAAGGAATATATTGTACCACAATATAGTAATGAATACGGAAAAAGTACCCTTGCAGTCCTTATACCAACATGATTATTAGTATTATTATTATTATTATTATTATTATTATTATTATTATTATTATTATTATTATTATTATTATTATTATTATTTTTATTATTTATTATTTTTATTATTATTATTTATTATTTTTATTATTATTATTATTATTATTATTATTATTCTTATTATTATATTATTATTATTAGTTTATTATTGTCATTGTTCTTATTTTATTTCTTGTTCTTCTTCTTCTTCTTTCTTCTTCTTCTTCTTCTCTTCTTCTTCTTCTTCTTCTTATTCTTTCTTTTCTTCTTCTTTTCTTCTTCTTCTTCTTCTTCTTCTTCTTCTTCTTCTTCTTCTTCTTCTTCTCTTTTCTTCTTATTATTATTATTATTATCATCTGAGGATTCAGAGTAGGAGCCCTCACCTATATTTAAAGGCTGAGGTAGCTTAGAGCTCTCTCCGAGTACATCGTTCTCTTTCACCCCTATATTTTTGCCAGTGGCATGCTGTACACTTGACGTAGTAGTATTTTGCTCACGATTGCCGGATGACGACGACACGTTACTCGCGAGTAGATCGACTTGCCGCCAGGGTACTGGGTTATTTAGGCCCTGCACCGTAACTTTCATATTTTTGTTTTTATTTACCATATTTGTTTTTTCCAGTTTGAACAGTTGTTAAAATTTATAAAAATTTCATCTGGAAGTGGCAGTGGAAATGTGTGAGGTTCTAGCTGGTCATTTAGTCCAGTGTAGTAATCCCCACAAATACGTAGATTACCAGAAGCCTTTTTCACCACCACAGTGGGTGCAGCCCATTCAGAAAAATTTATTGGTGAAATGATACCCTGACGTTCACGTTTTTGAATTTCACTGTCTAGTTGATCTTTTGCTGCATACGCTACTTGCCGTTTAGGACGAAAAACAGGAACAGCTTGCGGTTTAAGTTGTAGGTGAACTTTAAAATGAGTGCAGTATCCAATTTCATTCCTAAAAACTTCTGGGTATGTTTTACGCAATTCAGATTCTGTGAGTGTGTTGTTAACTTGAAGTTGTTTACAGGATGTATACGAATCAATGGGTTGGTTCCACAATTTAAATTGTTCCATTCAGAACCGAAAAGATTTAAATCGGGAAGTGATGATACCAAAATGTTGCAAGATTGGTTTTGATTATTGATAACCACTGTACACTGAAACTGACCTATTATGTTAATTTCATTTGTAGAAGCATCTCTTGGCTTGTGCTGAGAAATTTCTAAAGTTGGTTTACCAATTTTAACCCAGTTCTTCTTTGAGATGATCGTGACATCCGAACCAGTATCATGTTGAAGAGAGAAATTTATATTGTTAATTTGTAGTGAAATGTATCGTCTATTTTTACATGCTCCTATGGTTGCATATATGCTTTTTATACGCGATTTTGAAAAATTTAATTTAATAGATGACCACTATCTGCTACCTTTCCACGCTTTTTCTCAGATGAAATCGTAATACAGATCGATTTACGCCAAATTTTTCACTAAAAAAACGAACCAATTTCAAGCATGAATTCTTATCCTATAGAGCTTTAATAATAGTTATTTTTTGATTAGATAATAATTACTACTATTATAATATTCGTATTGTATAGTTTCTTCAAGAAACTTTCATTCAAAACGCTATAAAAATCATAAATTTACTGTTATTTGATTGCGTTGCATTTTCAGCAAATATAAAATATTTCACTTTGCGTAATAGAAATTGAAATAAAATGTCGCTTATTTGGAAGCTCCGAGTTAAGAGAATAAACAGCAAAAAGAAGAGATGGATTAATTACCGTTGTCTCGAATCAGACAAAATCAAAAATCATATGACCCCGCGTTGCAATTTTTGTGCTCGCTACTGCAGTTGATTCAGTTACGGAGCACCCGGTCAACATAAAACTGGTTTAAGGATTGGATAAAATTATCAGTGTGTACGTTATTCGATGTCAATACATACCGCCAGTGTACACAGTTTGCTTTCGAAGGATTCACCTACATATATAGTGGACAACTTCAAAAAAAGAACCTACTGTTACATTTTAATTCGATAATTCTAATTTTTAAATTTTTCAATAATTTGAATCTTTTAAATCTATAAATTTCATTACTATTATTAAAAAATTATCCTAAGCCGATTTATGGTGGGTATTTTGTGGGTTACAAACATCAGCGCAAACACAACTAAAGTATTGTAGGGTATAGTCAGGGTGCACTTATAAGGTGAAGTCAATTCAACAGCTGATCACTAATTTTTTTTCTTTGAGGTAGATACAACTGTCAAAGTACTGTAAATAAATTTTATATTCATTTTAATCCGTAGTAAATTTATGCGAAATACTCAAAAATTGCACAAACTATTTGAAATCTTTTTACTAATCAATTGAGAGTACAAACATCTCACAATTGTAAATAAAATTTTTAATACTCGATTTTATCATAGATATCTTAATTTTTAACAACTTTCTATGGTAGTAGTTTGGTCACATTTCTATAAAAATCATTATATATTTCTTATACGACAATAGTAGAGACTTACACGGTATTATAAGTTCCCAATATTGATTGATAAAAAATAATATGTATATAATTTGTATTTTTGCTACTTACAATTTTGTAATCTAATACTAATTTTTTGTTATTTTAATTGATAATTTATTTACTTTTTTAATAAGTAAATAATAAATAATATTCTAACCCCCTTATTCGCAAACAACATTTTTATTTTATAAAAGGTTTATGTTCCATACAAAATACCGTTTATAAAGTAAAAATTTTGTTTGTGAATAATTTTTCAATTCAGGTATAATTTTTAATAAATTTTTTTTTATTTACTTAAGTAAAGAGATTTTTGGGCATGTGGGATTGTCTTTTTGTAAGGTGAATTAAAAAAAAACACGGTGGCAACATGTAAATCTTTTGACAGCAGTATCTACTTTTGTTGTTTTTGTAGAATTGACTTCACCTTATAAGTGCACCCTGGTCATGTACATATTTATCTTTTTGTGGTAAAAATTGTGCTTTTATTTTGTTTAATATTCAACACTGTTCACTTCTTTGTTTGAAAAAAATACAACTTTAAAATTGGGTAACCCTGATGAGTGTGAGTAAGAAATGTAATCAACAACAATTTTTGCTTTCAGTCAATTTTTAGTTGCGTTCTGTTTTCTAATAAAAATAAAGAATATCTAAAAAGTAATTTATAAATAATTGTATGTAGAAATAAAATCCAAAGTGAATTTTGACGAAAAGAAACTGACATAAACGAATAATTTTTTGTTATCAGTAAATTTTTATTTTTACAGTTTTTAGTTGTGCACACATATTGCCGAACCAACAAAACATGAATCAACAAGGAATTACTAAAAAGATACCAATTCCCAAAGATTCCATCAGAGTCGATAATTTAAATGGTAAACTATTTATTTTAAATATTTTAAAACAAAAGCCTTTAACATGATTAAAAATTATATTAAATTTATGAAATTATTTATAAATACAATGTGAACAAAATTTCTTTATGGGTATAGATAAGAGGGTAATTCCCTTTTTAGTTTCTTAAACAAAACAAATAATTTCACCTCAATTATATTATTTGAACACAGTTGTATAGCTGATTATTTTTTATTTTACATGTTGTGTTGTACTGTCAAATGATATTGAACAGCTGTTTATTTTACTCCTAGTGTTGCCAGTCTAATCATCGAAAAAGAATAAATCTTGCCGGGGTTTTCTGATAAAGATAATCTACATTCTTTTTTTAAACCTAGTTTAACCTAATTTTTGTGTTTTTCAGTAATCAGTTACGTTAATTATTATCTTTGTTTAACTGAGTGTTATTTGCCAATTAAACCTTAGTTATAAGTGAGAAAACATAATCAATTTGGAAGAAAAACTTATTTTTTTTTAAAAAATTACAAATTTTTCAAATTGTTTTATCAATATTATTATTGTTTTAAATGTTTATTTTAATTTTTTCTAAAAGTTTTCATGTTCCAAAAGTAACATTTGCAAAAGAGAGATGTTCATTGATTATGTGTTTGACAAAAAAGTTGGCAATTTTAACAAATTAAAAAAGGGTTTTAATTCGTTACTGAAAATACAATCAATCATCGATTAAATCTCGCCTAAATTTGTTCCTATTTTAATCTAACAGAAAGTTAAGCTACGTTTAACTGAGTAGCAAGAAACTCACCCTAAGTATGCTATAATTCTTTCATTATTTTGAATGATTTATCCCCATAAAATAAACTTAGATTAATTTTTGTATTACATATTTTGATAGAATAGATGTTAATCTCAATAGAGTTTGTCACACTTGATTTTAATTCAATTTTGTTAGAATTTGATATGCATATTTTTAATTATATTTTAAATCAATATTAATTTATAAAATTCAAATATTTACAGAGGTTCTTAATGACTTCGCCGAGTTGTCGAAAATATCACAAAAATTGAAAGTAAAATACACAAATTTAGAAGAAGAGCTTCGGGACCACCTTAATATAATATCGATATTAGAGAACGATAAAGCAACATTTGAAAGTCAATTAAAAGTAACCCAAAAAAAATTAAATGATACTAAATTAAATAATAATCGTCTTTTGGAAGAAAACTCAAAAATACCGATATTAAATGAAAAAATTACAAACTTAGAATGTCAATTGAAAGATATCTCAAAGAACCTTCAAGAAAATACCACTAAATATACCAATCAGTTAAAAGCGGCTAATGCAGAAAAAGCTGCATTAAATGATAAACTAAAACAGATATCTACAGAGCTAAATTCAAAAAATTTAGCTTGTGCTAAATTATCTGAAGAAAATTCGAAAATTTCGAACTTAAATGCAGAGATTTCAAAACTAAAAAAACAATTTCATCAAACATCTTTGGAAAATGAGTTACTTAAAGAAAAATACGAAAAACTTACAGCAGAAAATGCAACATTAGTACTATTGAAACAAACGTCGCTGGAATTGGAGAACGAAATTTCAAAATGTACTCAGCTATCGTTAGAGAATGTGGAACTAAAAAATAATTATGAAAAACTTACAGCTGAAAACTCAACATTAAGAGTAAAACAAGACGATATTTATAAAACAACATTGATGCTAAATCAGAATGTCAATACACTGGAACAAAAACTTAAACATGTAACATTACAGTTAGAAAAAGAAATTGCGACAGGTATTCAATTAAACGCAGAGAATCAAAAACTAAAATCTTTAAGCCCAACTACAAGATCAGAATCAGGACAAATAGAGGAGAATATTCAAATCCAGCAACTTGAAGAAAAGCTTAAGCAGTTGTCTGCTGAGCTTGAAAAAGAAGTTTCTAAAAATAGCGCACTTGGAGAATATAACAAGCAGTTGGATCGACTTATAAGTGGATTTAAATCAAAAGCTAAATCAGAAACTGTTTCTACAAAATCAGTGGAAAATTTGAAAAAATCACAGGATCAATTGAATGTTAACAGCAATTTTAAAGTTCTCATTAGAGATGTACCTACCGATCAAATACTCAATCCATTAGAAAAAACTATAATAGATTTGGCTTCCAAAATGTCTATATGTATAAATCGGAATGATATAACCCAAGTACGTTTCATGGAGCGTAAAGGCTTGAGCGAGTATTCTAATAAAGTTTCATTGTTAGTTGATTTCAAGACCTCTGAAATAAAAACAAATTTTATTTCCAATCGCAGTAAATTGAAATTAAATACTTCTACTAAGCACATTCAGATAAAAGATTTTGTGGAAAATGAAGTATATTCATTATTCCTTTATGCCAACGAACATCTTCGACCTATTGGATTTCATAGAATTTGGTGCAAAGACAATCAAGTGTTTGTCAAAAAAAATGATTCTGATACGGAAATAGAAATTACGTCCCGAAATCAAGTCGATGTACTTACAAAGCCAAATTGGAGAGCTTAAGTATTCGTTAAAAGTAATCAAAACGTGTTGCATTTTAGGAAAATAGTTATTAAATAAACGAACGATTTTGTTAATTAAGGACGTGCATGTATATATAAATTTTTAAGAATTTTTAATATATAAAATAAAAATAATTAAGTTACAAATGTCTAAATTTAACCATTTTTAAAATAAAATTTCTATGTAACTATTTTACAAAACATTTTTTTATCAAATCATGAGTTTTTATCTAAACATATTCTTGTAAAGCTTTAACGAAACAATTCCAAAACACTTTGAAAAAAATCTTAAAGAATTATGGGAAAATGAAACCAGATTCAGATAGAAATGGGTAATCAGTTTCTCGTAAAGATATGACTTTGTTTAAACTTTTAACACAATAAATCCCTCCCACATTTTTATTATTCAATTCAATAAAACCCGAATATTGAATTATGCCAGTCTTATAGTAAATGAGCGATATGCTTACTTGCTCTTTGCTATAAAGAAACTATAGATCCTATTTTTTTAAGCATAATCACGATCTAAAACACGATTGTAATGATTTGACTCCCCAGCAAAAAATAATTGATGTCATACTTTACAAACTTTTCGCTTTTATAAGCCAAACATCAGAGATGGGGGTATTTTTTTAGTTAAATCTAGCACTAAATATTATTTCAAAAAATATATTTATACCCTACACCACTTTAGTGGGGAGGGTATATTGGATTTGTGCTGATGTTTGTAACATACCAAAATATTCGGCTTAGAATCGTTTTCTGAGTCGATTAAGCTATGTCCGTCCGTCCGTCTGGCTGGCTGGCTGTCCATGTAAACCTTGTGCGCAAGGTACAGGTCGCAATTTTCAAGATAATTGGATGAAATTTGGCACGCACGTTTTATTTGACCTAAGGACGAAGCCTATTGAAAATGGTTAAAATCGGTCCATTATTTCACCTAGCCCCCATACAACAGAACCCCCCGAAAAGGGCTTCTGAGCTCATAATTATGTTAAATATACAGATATATCGATAAAATACGGCATAACTAAGTTTTATAGAAGTCTTGATGACCCTGCCAAATTTCATAAAGATCGGGCCACATTTGACCCTAGCTCCCATACAAAGTCCCCTTCAGAAAATTACTTGAATGTCCCAAATTAGCTTATAAACCCAAATATCGCGATGAAATTCAGCACAATAAAATATTATGTCAATATAAATATATTCACAAAATTTTATCGGGCTTGGTCCATATTTGCCCCTAGCCCCCATATAAAGCCTCTTTCAGAAAATTAGTTTTTCATCCATAAATTGCTTAAATGTATCGGAACAAGGGAATATTGAAGATAAATGCTTTATTATGAAAAATAAATCACATTTAATATTCATAACTGGTGTAGGGTATCATATGGTCGGCCACGCCCGACTATAATTTCTTACTTGTTTTAACTAATTTTGAGCAGCTTAGTGATAGTGAAGCTTATATTTAACTATTACTCAATTGAGTGGTAGTGTAGAAAAAAGCACTACACTCAAATAGTTAAAAATTTGAACAGTAACTAACAAAAGGCTACAATAATTTTCTTTGCACAAATTTTTTTAAAATGAAAATAAAGAATAAGACAATAAATTATTAAATTTTTGTAAAGATACATCTATTAAAATAGAAAATACAGATTTAGATAGCCAGTTGCAAAAATGATGTGGTTACTGGATATTTTTTAAGCAATAGCTTGGAAATGTTGTAAATAATGAAAGCTTTATTCATTAATAATATTCGTCCAATGAGTTTTTGGTTGACTTGAACCATTTCTAGACTGACCTATTAAATTAAACTTTCAATTGAGTGAAACATTTCTCCGTAGAAAAAAAAAAAATAGTGCAGGAATATTTTTTGAACTAACCCCACAGAAAATTTATAGCTTACTACATTGATATTGTGTTGCTTATTTTGTATTCGAAAGTGCTTACAAACTTACACACACTCTGGCTTACTTTACACAGGGTATGGCCGCCTGAAAATGACACACTAACTGATATACTTGGTTTGCGATATTGTGTGTAGATTATACATTTTTTATAATATACTTGTGTGTGGAAAAGTAGCTATTCTTACCGATATACCTAGTAAGTAAAATTGTTTCTACAGCTCCTTTCTAGCTGGAACACAAGTGTATCAAAAAGTATCTACAACAACTTTCTAAGTTAAATACATGTGTATTAAGAAGTATCTAAATATGTATATTTTTTAAAAAATGCTACCCAAATGCATGTATCTACAAATTCATTCATAAGTATAAGGCCATTCCAATTATCGCTAGATCATGATCCTAATTTTAAGCTATAAATTTTGCTTAAAATTCATCTAAACATTGAAAAAATGTTGATCCAAAAAATATTTTTCAATAAATGAAAAATTTTTTGTTGATTAAATTACAGCACACTTGATTTTTTTATATTTTAATTTTCTGTTCTCATATACAATGTTAATCACAAATATATTAAGATGTAATGCAAAAAAAATTTATTAAAAATTGAAACTTCATATCCAGATTTTATATACAAGTAAATCAAATTATAAGTAACACAAAGTAAGGCACACAACATTGGTTACAATTCCGAGTACTCTGAAAATTTTCTGTGGGGAATAATTTAGTGTAGAAAAAATTATTTCGCTAGGCTGTAAAAACAAATATTTTAACTATTTTTAAAATATTTTTAGTTAAAAATTTTAAATATCACTATCACTATTATTGAGTGAGGCTTATACTTTTCAATTCATCACTAAACTTAAACAAAAGTAGTGAATAATTTTGAACTACCACTAATTATTAGTGATAGTTAAAAATTAGTGCACTACCCCCATCTCTGCCAAACATATACTTACAAATTAAAACACAGTTAAAAATGAGAAAAGAGATGTAGAAAAGTCACTACAAAGAACATATTCGAAGTACTTCAAATTTTGATGAAAAACCAATGAAATTTACATAAGCGTTTCATTGAAAGAATGTGGTTTATTTTTGACATACAAATATCGGATTTTTACAGCTTCTAAAGATAAGATTAGATGTAGTTCAAATTTGTCAAAAATGAACAACATCCCTCCAATGACACGCTAATGTAAAATCCATAGGTTTTTCACCTGAATTTGAAGCACTTCGGGTTACTAGTTGTGATGAAAATTCTACATCCTTTTCCTCACTTTTTTTGCTGGGTCGTGCTTAGAAATTGTACAACCAACAAGCAGGAATTCTACTGTTTTCATTGAACAAGTCGGATCTATTACAATTATGAACAAAAATCTTTTGACCGTGTGAAAAAACAACTTAAGAATAAAATAGATCAGACATTCACCTTAGGACCAGTCAATTATAAACCGATCTGCTCAGAATGAATCGATTTTAATCATTTTCAGTAGGCTTCGTCTTTGTCTCGGAAAAGGAGAATTTGACAAATTTCATCCAAATTATCTTTTTGGTTATTTTGTTAATTTGGTTTTATTTTTCAAACCTCATGGTTTATTTTAAAGATTTATAAAAATTATATAAAACATACAAAAAATTAAGTAAAATATCGTAAAATATACAAAATCGTTTTTATGGAATCTATGTCTCTCAAATAAATGCGATGCCGTGAATCTGGCAACCCCATACGTATGTCAACTACAAAACATACATATTTAATAAAAAAAACATGGGAAATCCCCTTCTTTTTGCTAACCTAACTTGAAAATACACAAATTCACCAATCTATTATTCTATGCGCACGTTTATATTAAGCCGATTAAACAAGGTTGTGTCAACAAGAAATCTAATTTGGAAGTTGAACAATTCTGTCAAATTGTATTTTTTCGTATTGCCAGAATAAGAAAATCTTAATATTAATACACACATAGCAGGAATTTAATTAACTAATACCCCATTTACCCATACACGAAATCTAGTAGATTTCATTTAAAATCCTTTTGCAAATCTAGACCGTTTATACTTACTCTTCTTGACATTTAGGAAGATTTAATTTTTCTAATATTTTTCGAAAAAGTGTATGATATGAAAAATAAGAAGGAAAAAATGGGATATTTATTCAAATTTCATTTATAATAAAAAAGATATATAAATATAACATTACATTTTATTTTAGATTAACTTTTCATTCATGTTTCTCAATTTATAAAAAATTTGTCGACATTTTAATTTTTTTGTTTGTTTTGTTTTTCTCTTTTTTCTTGTGTAGGGTCGAATATTTTAGTATTATTTAGGGAAAAACAGATGTGCATCACTAAAAACTATTTGATTTTTAGTAGAAAATCTAGTTACGAAGTAGTTTTTGTTTTGTATGAGAAATCTAGTTAAAATCAACTAGATTTGTCTCGAAATCTCATAAGTACTAGATTTCGTGTATGTGTAAATGGGGTATAACAGATATTCATTCAAAATTTATTAAAAATATACATTAGTATATACATAGTAAAGAAATTAATTAATAGTGATATAAATAGGACCAATAAATTAATATTTTGTTCTTATTAGGTTCATTTTTAGATTTGTATGCCCTTTTAAAAAATCAAAACATGTGCCGAAAAACGTTTCTTTTTTTTTCTCGAAAATATGATATGTTGGAGGTCAGATCCAATTCTTTAAAAACATATTTTGTAGTACCTAAGTTAATTACTTGATGTCCGTTTTAGAAATACATAATAACTCACTAAAATACATATTATGATAAAATCATAAATGATTTAATTTCTTTTGTTGTAAAAATATTAACAGATATTCTGTTTGTATATAAACTTTATTCAATTTGTATATACGAATAAACAAAAATAAATTTGGTGTGAAGAAAAGAAAACTCTGGCAACACAGATATTCTTTTGACATAACTTATTCTCTTATTGTTTTTGTAAAACCGCCAACACCTAGCAAATTTGCTTTAAAATAAACTTTTTTAGTACGCCTTTGTTATTAAACCGAGCAATTTTAAATTTACCAAGATAAAGTTGGATTATAAAGTGTAGTAAAATGCTTACACTGAATATATCATGTACAGTATGTAAGGAAACGTTCAAAAATTCTGACGCCATTTACAGTACCAGTTGTGGCCATATATTCCATTTCATTTGCATGAATCAATGGCGTTCCAAGTGAGTATGCTTCGTTAGTGTAATTTTGTTGTTAAAAATAGATAAATTTTGTTTCCTCTAATAGATCCACCAGTTGCCCTCAATGTAGAAGCTATAATCCCACTACTCATAGTGTTTATTTTAACTTTGAAGATACTCGTGAATACGAAAAAATTGTGAACGACTTAAAAGATAAGCTCCAGAAAACCGATGATAAAATGAAAAAAATCAAAGAAGATGTTGCAAAAAAAGAACAGAAAATAGATGATCTTCAACGATTGTATAATATTTCTGAACAGTGGAGGGCAGAACTTGAAACAAAAATATATAAATTATCCCACGAATCACAAGTCAAAAATGTACAACATACCAAAGAGTTGAATTTAAAATTAAACGAAATACAATATTTGGAAACACACCTCGAAACAATGCAAAAAGCGGAAGGTGTACATGAATTGTGTGAAAAAATCCAAAAATTAGAAGAGGACAATACAAAACTTAAAGATAATAACAAAGTGGATGAAGATTCAAAAATCATTTTAAATCATAAAATAGAAATACTAGAACAAAGATTAAAGCATGTTACTTTAGAGCTTCAAAAGCAAATTGCGGAAAATGTCAATCGATCTATGGACAAAATGATAGCACAACCTAATGAGGCAAAAACAAATAAGAGTAACCAGCAGCAAAAAAATAATCGAAAAAGGAGGGATTCCAGAAAAATATTGTGCGAACAGCAGCAAAAAAATGTTGATCAATCTATAATCCATAATGAAGAGCCCATAAAAGAATTGAGTAACAAGCAACATAGCAACCATAGGACAAAACAAAATATAAATCGTCAGTTTGAACTGACCCAACCGAATGATACCAAAGTTGTAATTAAAGATATTCCCTCAGAAGATATTGTATATCCACTAAGAAATACTGTAATTTCTTTAGCTTCTAAAATGTCCATAAATCTTAGTAGCGATGATATGACAAATGTTAGTATTTTGGAACAAAAGAGCCTAAACACAATCAATTCAAATAAGATCGCACTATTAGTGCAATTTAAAACGATTAATGGAAAAATACAATTTCTTATGAACAAAAATCGATTGAAATTCAATTCATCAACTAAGTTTATACAGTTAAAGGAATACATCGACGAAGATGTATATCCAATATTTATGTATGCCAATAGAGTTCTAAGAGAAAATGGCTTTGAATATATTGAATGTAAACACAATCAAGTCTTTGCCAAAAAGAATCGCCATGATACTGCAGGAATTGTTATAATGGATAAAAATCATGTCGATAGAATTGTATGTCGTCAAATATTAGAAAACCGATTATAATTTAGATGGGACATTTTAGATTTAGCTATTCAAATTTGAGCGAATAAAAATCTTTACATACATGTGTACATTCATATATTATTTTTTTAAATAAATAAATCGACAAAAATGTACATATTTTGTATATTATTGAAATTTTAATCGACACAAATATTTACATACCCAGCAAAAACTTACACGGTGATGACATTGGAGGAAAGTACTTATCACGATTGCTTACAAATCACTACAAAAATAAGTACATACAAATAAGGAGTTATAAAGTTGCTTTGTTTTAAAAACAAAAAAAATCTTACACAGAATACAAACCTAGACTTCTTGTTCGTTATTTCGCTGTCTTACTTACAACAACACTGCTTAGTTATTTTATTGTGCGTCCAATAATGATTTAACTCAGAAACCTTTTTTCTTTCTGTGTGTGTAAAAACAGTTGCCAATAAAATGGCAAAACTCCAAATAAAGTAAAGACGTCAAATAGTGGTCATTGAAAAGTAAGGGGTTATATAAGCCTTTACCGAGTTTTACATACATATATCCAGCAAAAACGATATTAGACGGAATACTTTCTGTTTTTAATTTATATTTTGTTTTCACAATGTAACTTGTTTTATTTATAGTTTGGTTTTTGGTGATGTTTTCTGTTCGCTGTGTCGGTGACAAGTGATTTTCTCCTTTAAGTTGGCGCCTTGAACAAGGCGTTTTTACACGGAAGTGTCGAAGTCGATCAAACCATTTACAAAGATCGTTGTCGACAGAAAGTTGTTAAAACTTTTATTTTTAGAGCATGTTTTATACATTTTAAAAAGCATAAAACACATTAGTTAAATGGATTACTATTATTATTGAACAAATATTTCAAAATTCAATGAATTACCATTCATTTCAATACTGTGAATTGTCTTACCATTCAGTTTGCATACTTTTAGGCAGATTTCTTATTTATTAATCCGCCATAAAATAAACATAAACTTTATGATTCTAGTGACATCTATAACTGAGAAAATAAATAAATGGTGGTAGTCTTCGCTGCAGTAATGACTACACCTGAAACTATGCTACACTATATATGTTTCATAGGAGTATTGCCAGATATTCCAAATGCTATAAAGAATTCCTCGTAATATTTATAGGTGTACCCGAACTCTACACTTTTACCTATAAAATGTCTACAACAACCCACTAATAACTTTATTAAGTATTTATGAATACAAGAACTTAGTATTTCCAAGATGATAGAAATTTTAAAATGATACGAACTTATAACAAGGCTACTTTTTTAGGCTTTAAAGTACAAAACTAATTTTCCGCTAGATTATTGATTGATTATAGACTAGACTAAAGACCAGAATGTAGACAAGCCTACAGACAAGGCTATAGACTAGACTAGATTATAGGCAATACTATAGACTACACTTTAGACCAGACTATAGATTAGACTATAGACTAGACTATAGACTAGACTATAGACTAGACTATAGACTAGACTATAGACTAGACTATAGACTAGACTATAGACTAGACTATAGACTAGACTATAGACTAGACTATAGACTAGACTATAGACTAGACTATAGACTAGACTATAGACTAGACTATAGACTAGACTATAGACTAGACTATAGACTAGACTATAGACTAGACTAGACTATAGACTAGACTATAGACTAGACTATAGACTAGACTATAGACTAGACTATAGACTAGACTATAGACTAGACTATAGACTAGACTATAGACTAGACTATAGACTAGACTAGACTATAGACTAGGCTATAGACTAGGCTATAGACTAGGCTATAGACTAGACTATAGACTAGACTATAGACTAGGCTATAGACTAGGCTATAGACTAGACTATAGACTAGACTATAGACTAGACTATAGACTAGACTATAGACTAGACTAGGACTATAAGACTAGGACTATAGACTAGACTATAGACTAGGACTATAGACTAGACTATAGACTAGACTATAGACTATACTATAACTAGGACTATAGACTACGAACTATAGGACTAGACTATAGACTAGACTATAGACTAGACTATAGACTAGGGGACTATAGACTAGACTATAGGACTAGACTATTGACTAGACTATAGACTAGACTATAGACTAGACTATAGACTAGACTAGAGACTTAGACTATAGACTAGACTATAGAACTAGACCTATAGACTAGCTATAGACTAGACTATAGACTAGACTATCGACTAGACTATAGTCTAGACTATAGTACTGACTATCAGACTAGGACTATAGACTGATCTATAGACTAGGACTATAGGACTAGACTATAGACTAGAACTATAGACTAGGACTAGTAGACTAGACTATAGACTAGGAATAGACTAGACTATAGACTAGGACTATAGACTAGAATATAGACTAGACTATAGGCTAAACTATAGACTAGACTATAGACTAGACTATAGACTAGACTATAGACTAGACTATAGACTAGACTATTCACTAGACTATAGACTAGACTATAGACTAGACTATAGACTAGACTGTAGACTAGACTATAGACTAGACTGTAGACTAGACTATAGACTAGACTATAGGCTAGACTATAAATTTGATGAAAGACTAGACTAAAAACTAGACTATAGCCTACACAATAGACTAGTGTATAGAATAGTCTATAGACAAGAGTATATACTAGATTAGTCTATTATCTATAGACTATAGATTAGACTGTAAACTAGACTATAAACTAGGCTATAGACTAGTCTATAGATTATATTATAGACTAGATTGTTGACTAGACTATAGGCTAGATTACAAAACGATACCATAGCTTAGACAATAGACTAAAATATATGTATGTATATCTACTAGACTTTAGATAAGAATATATGTAGACTAGACTAAAATACTGAATTGTTTTTCGTTTAAAAACATACATATTAATTATTTATTTTACCTTTACTGATCTAATTTAATTAAATCAAGAAGTGCAACATATGGTTTAAGTTGCCCTTCTTTATTTAATTAAATTTTGCAAAAAATGTACATTTACTTTAGCAACAACTAATAAAATTTCATATTTTTGCTATCAACAATCAAATCGAAAAAAATGAGTAACATGTGTTTTAAGGCACCGGAAATTAATATATAATAAAAACTTATGTGTAGACCAACAGTTGGTCATCTTTTATAAACTAAAGTTCAAGGTACAAGTTTTTCTTTAATGTCGAATGAAATAACTTAATTTAATATACATATTGCATATTTCTTTGCAACTTTAAATGCACTTAAAAGAAAAAAGGTACTTATGTATAAAAACACAGAATTTGTTCGGAATTTAATTCTGAATTTGAATTAAATTCTACTATAATCGTTAGCGATAATGGGTTAAATGTGGTAAAAGCTTTTAAAATGTATGTGATCCAAAAGTTGAAGAAACTAAATCAGGTTCAAACCAGTGGAATTACCAAGGTTAAGTAAGAAATGAGGAGAGCAGTAACTTCTTATGTAATCTCGAAAGGTGCGGTACATATACGTTACATTTCATAGTCTCCAAAGCAGGCTTGGGGTGATGATTACTTGTAATTGTATTTGAAGTTTTCCCAATTGCATTAACAATGTTAATCGCTGACAATGACAAAAATGTGAAAATAACTAAATGTATCAAAAGTTTTTTCATACTTGTTATTTTATCAACTACATACCTAACTCCCGAACCACTATCGTATATGTATTTATTAGGATAATCGAGTATTTGTTAAGAATTATTCATATTTTATTTAGCTAAAGTTGAATAAACTGTTCGAAAATTCATTACATTCAAAGCGGTTCATTTCGAATAATAATTACTCTTCAATACGCCAGAAGGTGAACACAAAAATTATGTTCACACTTTTGGGCAGTGTGATATTCAATAAAGATAGAGACATAAGTCATAAATTCCTGAACTTCAAACTGACTGAGAGTTGTATGCCCATTAAATATTTGCTGCAAATTTATACATCTATCATTACAGATACTCTTACTATACGAACGAATGTCCGTCTCCATGCATGCTCACGTAAATAATTCTCAGAATGTGTTCATAATTTTTCAATTATCGTAAAGTTATTTATCGTCTCGCGCTTTAAAAACCAAAAGTTTATGGAGGGCGTAGGAATTGAAATCAAAATATGTCCAAGTATGAAATGAATAGAGAAATCAGTATTAAATACTTTACGCTTGGAAACGTGTGCATCTTAATCCAAGTCGCTAAAGTCTCTACGAAGAACACCAACAACAACTAAAACTTAACGAATTGAAATACTTACTTGCCAAGATCAAAAGTATTCTCACTTTGGGGGCGTTACCAAGTTTAATACATTTATTACAGAAACAGAGAAAAAAATCAAAGAGGAAAAAACTCTAAGAAATGATTTGCACAATGGCATAAAATATAATAATAATTTTAACTTCCAAAAAGTTACACTATACCATAGACTACGATAGGCTGTAGACTATACCATAGATTAAACTGTAGAGTAGACTAGACTATAGACTAGACTATAGACTAGACTATAGACTAGACTATAGACTAGACTATAGACTAGACTATAGACTAGACTATAGACTAGACTATAGACTAGACTATAGACTAGACTATAGACTAGACTATAGACTAGACTATAGACTAGACTATAGACTAGACTATAGACTAGACTATAGACTAGACTATAGACTAGACTATAGACTAGACTATAGACTAGACTATAGACTAGACAATAGACTAGACTATAGACTAGACTATAGACTAGACTATAGACTAGACTATAGACTAGACTATAGACTAGACTATAGACTAGACTATAGACTAGACTATAGACTAGACTATAGACTAGACTATAGACTAGACTATAGACTAGACTATGGACTAGACTATAGACTAGACTATAGACTAGACTATAGACTAGACTATGGACTAGACTATAGACTAGACTATGGACTAGACTATAGACTAGACTATAGACTAGACTATGGACTAGACTATGGACTAGACTATAGACTAGACTATAGACTAGACTATAGACTAGACTATAGACTAGACTATAGACTAGACTATAGACTAGACTATAGACTAGACTATAGACTAGACTATAGAC